TTAGAAGTTGAAAAAATCACATGCAACAGCATTAAAATGTGAAATACATATAAATTTATCAAAATATATGTAAGATTCTACACCAAGACATGAAAATACTGTTGAGAGACATTTAAAAAGATAAAGAAATAGAAAGATAAACCATACTCATGGAGTGGAAGACTTACTATTGTTAAAAGATCAATTTTCCTCAAATTTATCAATGATTCCAATGGCATCCCAATCAAAATCCAGCAAGCTTTTAAAAAAAATTTTAAAAATTGATAAGCTGATTCTAAAATTCACATGGAAATTAAAGGTCCTGGAATAGCCAAGGCCATTTTGAAAAGAAAGAACACAATCAAAGGTCTCGTATCACCTGTTTTAAGACTTACTGTTAAACTCTAGTAATCAGTACAATGTCCAGAAAATAGATCAACAAAAAGAGCAGAAAAATTCAGCCAAACATGTCCATCAGTGGATTCTCAACCAAGGTGCTGAGGAATTCTCAGGAAGTGGTTCCTGGGGGCTGGACATTTGTATGAATCTGAGTGAAGCTGGGAGGTGGGTGATGGGCTTGTTCAGCAAAGGCAGGAGGAAGAGCTGGTCTGGGCTCTCTGGCTCCCTGCTCCTTACTTGCAGAGATACTCTTCTTGACCTACAGGAGCAACACAAATGTGTCTTTCTGGGAATGTGCACAATCTTAAACCTTCCACTGTGCAATGCTTTGCTTCAGATAAACATTGTTTTCCACTTGAATAGCTGTGGCCATTACCCAACTCCAGCTCCCACACCCACTCATCAAAAAAACAAAACCAGGGAATCTTGGGCTTCACAGATCCTACAATGTGTCACCCAAACCCTCACAGTTTGGTCTACCTAGAAGGAACAAATCTTGAGCTCCTCAGCAGGCGTAGACCTCTCTCTGCAAAAGCTAGGGCGTACCATCAATCCTGCACTCGCTGATGTCTATTGATCTCCCACATGACCAGCTTCTTGATGAGCTGACCCAGTGCATGAAGCAGGCTTGAGGGAAACATTTACCCAGCGCCATATTTAAAGGGCTTCAGAGAGGTATGTGCCCGGGAAGCATGGGGGAGGGACACTCTGTGTCTGTGAATACAGGGTGACCCCTGCACAGCAGGTACTGTTGCAGCTGGTTTAAAAGAGAAAGCAGGAGATGGCCGGGGAGGCGGGAGAAGTCAGAGGTCTCCCTGATGGAGTGAGCAGCACCTCCCAAGGCCCAGCTGTCTCAGGGAACAGGAGCTCTTGGAGCAAGCTGGACACAGGATGTGAAGGAGCCCCAGGCAGGAGCTGAGGCTGCCTGGCCACCACCCGCAGTCCCTGGTATGTCAGGGTAAAGAGCAGGGGCTTTGTTCCAGTAGTTTCTCTTCACGATGTGGTGTATTCTCTCCTTCTCAGAACCCTGGACACAGGCCACACCATGCTGGCTGGGCCCTGTGCTTACCCCATGTACTGGCTCACTTGGACTATGTGTCCTGGGAGGAGGGAAGCCCAGGAGGGGCCCTCGGCAAGAAGCCAGGCCAGAAAATCACCCTGGGTTTACAGTCTCCTTCCCTTCTTTGTCCTCCCAGCCTTTAAGGTATCACAGGTGAGGGTGACTATACCCAGGGGCCACCCCTGCTTGCCAGGCCCCCACCAGGCTGGGATATGCGGGACCACAGCTCTGTGGAAGGCGGTGCATTGAGAGCAGGGGAGTCAGTGCCACGGGCCTGTGCCAAGGTGCCCCCTACTACTGTTTTGCTGTCTCAGACCTTCCGGTCCTTTCTGGGAATGTCCACAGATGGAATGAATGATGTCACGTACAAGTGATTGATGTTTTTTAATCACTTTGAAAATCAAGCTGCACACCCAAAGAGCGTCCCAATCCGAGGGTGCTCAGAGCCCCAGTGCATGTGCGATGGTGCCCGGAAGGGAGGGTGCCAGGCTCGGCATCGGCAGTTCTCCAGGACCTGATGGAGGAAGAGGGGGAAGCCGACAGAAGGCAGGGCAGACCCCCAGCAGCCCCAAGGGACCTAGTGATGGTCAGCGCTGGGTGAAGGGCATCCAGGCCTTCTCCCTAGTGGCACTGACACCCACCGGGGGCTGGCTGGTGGGGTCACTCCCGCGATGCTCATTTCGCCCTTCCTTCTAATTCAAGGAGGTGGGAAGACAGTCCTAAAATCAGTCTCATGGTCTTGGGATCCTTGTCACAGCACACRCCCAAGACAGTGAGTCTGGAATAGCACATTGACTGCAGTGAATGGGGGCATCTTGGGAACTGGATGGCACTCTCTAGGCTCAGGTGTGTCCATGGCGRCAGACTGACCCTTCAGGGCCGGTGGCAGGTTGATGCAAACAAGGCTACCCACACGCAGCCTCCAGGGCTCTGTGAAGCTGTGGCCACAGGGTCCTTCCCTGGAGGCTGGTTGGGGGATGGTGAGGGCTCCATGGGCATTCATGGACAGGTGCTGCCTCCTTGTGGGACCAGCTCCTGTGGAAGGGAAGAGTGTTCAGAGGAGTAGAAAGCACCCTCTCCAGGGAGCGCAGGTTGCCCACACCCTCTCCTTCACAGATGGTTGGCACAGGCTGTGCCTTGCCTCGCTGTGGTGGGCCCTGTTTGGTAAGGGCTTGAGCTATGGGAGCTGAGCTTGAACAGTGCCGGTGAGTCCCCATGGAATGTCCTGTCGAGGGGCGGGACTGGCTCTGTCCACTACCATCTGCATGAGATTCTTTCAGCTGGAAGCCAAGGTGGACCCTTTGGTRCTGCTTTGTTCTGAGAACCACAGGAGCTTAGGAACAAGGTCAAGAAAGTAGCCCCAGACTCTCATCCAGCTGGTCCCCTCTTAGTGACAGCAAAGGACCAGGACTTGGCTTGCACCAGAGGCTCTGGCCTCAGCCCCCATGTCTCCAGCATCCCCCGACCCTTCCTGCCTGGTGGTCCTGCCGCTGTGTGTGCACACGCTGATGCTGCCCAGGCTGTTCCATCTCCTCTCTGCCCCTCACCCAGGGACACTCCGAAAGAAACTGTCCCTGGGACATGGCCCTCTGTTCTGATGATATRGGGGCTTGACTCCCACCTGTGTGGCACTGGCCGGAGGCCCCAGCACGGGTGTTTCCCTTGTCCAACCCCAGAGTGCAGCTGCAGAGTCGTCCCCTCCAGACTGCTTCGAGGTTGACTGTCAGAGACAATGACAGCAGCCCTTGCACCTGGCCTGGCACCAGCCAGAGCTTCCTCAGGTGGCCTTCCTTGCCTTTTCTGCCCTGCTTCTGCCTTTGCCCTTCCTGAGAAAGCAGCCAAACTTGGAGAAAAACAAAGTCACTGCCAACAACACAGCAAACGGTCATCCCTCCTGTGCATGTGGCCACCCAGGGTGGCTCCTGGGTTCCCACGGGAACCAAGATCTGCCAAAGCTGCAGCCCCTGTGTAAATGTGTCCCACTTGCATGTGACCTCTGCTCACCCTCCCTGATGCTTCAAGTGCCCTCTCGGTTACTTACAGTAGCCAATACCACACAGAAGCTGTGTAAATGGTGTGACTCCGTCTCCTTTAGGGAATAATGACCACAGTGTTTTCAGTGTTTCCAATCCACTAACAGAGGGTGACTCTATGTCCTGCTTCTTTCTCCCATGGTTTCAAACTTTTAAATTGAGATAATTTGCATATCATAAAATTCATCCCTTTACAATYGATGATTCAGCGGATTTTAGAATACTCACAGAGTTGCGCGGCCGTCAGCCTGACCTAATTCTAACACATTTCCATCACCCCCAGATGWWGCCCCTGCCGGTTAGCACTCCGCCYCACTGCCCRCTCTCTCTCCCTCTGGCCCTTGGCAGTCCCTGGCTGCTTTCTGTCTCCTCCTGGGAAGAGCCAGTCTAGGCCTGCGGGTCCCCTGCCGTGCAGGCTCCTGGAACCAATGCAGCTAGATGAATAGCAATGGCCACTAGTTCAGAAGGGGACCAGTGCCTGGGAGGTCGGGCTGGACCAGCACTGGCCCAATGCCCCTGTGAGCCTTCCCAGCTCACTCTGCACTTCAAGGGTCCCTGCTGCTCTGCCCTTGTGGGGTCCAGGACCTCGCGTAGGGTCTCTGCCATCAGGGATGCTGCAGGGAGGAATTCTGCAGGAGGAGGGGGAAGGGGCCACTGCTGGTGCCCAGGYCCTGAATTGGTGGAGGCTTCGCCAGGACTTGAAGTCCCTCCAGGTCCCAGTGTGCCCTGCCTCCCCGCCGTCTCCTTTTCCTCTCCTAGGATAAACCGTCCCCAGAACTTGGTTCTTCCTCCTGCCGTGCTGTCCTCTTTCAGTGGCACAGAGAGGGCTTACTGTGACGCTGGGCGAGGAGAACTGTGGATCGGGGAGGGAGCAGCCTCGATGGGCACAGTGGCCTGGGCAAGCACTGCCAAAGCCACCAGGTCCCCATGAGCAGTGCCTGTTGCAGGGGCCTGTGGCTCTCAGAGCCGGAAGAGGGGGMCGTCCCCTGCCTGAGGGCAGCTGAGCCCCCAGGGCCTCCATCCTGGCTTCCAGACCGGGGTGTGCCCAGCTGCCCTTCTTACGTCCCCACCTATGATGGTGGATACAGCGGCTGCAGAGGGGTCGTAGGGGAGGTGCCAGTGCTGCCTCRGTTCACCTGCTGGGCACCGGGCTCTCAGGAGGCATCCACTGATCCACACCCAGGCACCTGCGAGGTGGCCCTGCTGGAGAGAGGCGGGCCCCGGGGCGCTCAGGCCCACCTGGGTACCTGTGATGAGGGAGTCGGCCAGCGCTGCTCCAGTGCCTGGCCACCTGAGGCCCTCAAGGCTGCCGTCAGGTGGCTGTCCACAGAGGGCTCAGGACTGGCATGTGCTAAAATGCCCTGTGTGCAGGCAGGTGCCTCCCTGGCTCAGTCCCCTGCCCTGGCCTCTATTCATGGGACCATGCTGGGTAGGGAGGCCCTTGGCAGAGTCAGAGCTGCTCAGTCCAGGGGCCCAGTGCCCAGCACAATGACCAAAGGGCACCCTTCAGCAGCATCTTCTCCCCGCAGGAGAGCACCTGGCCGTACCTGTTTGGTGTGATCATGGTCCCCGCTTTCATCCAGCTGGTGAGCCTGCCCTTCCTCCCCGAGAGCCCTCGCTACCTGCTCTTGGAGAAGCATGACGAGGCCAGAGCCATGAAAGGTAGGGCCACTTCCCCTCGTCACACAGCTCTGCTTGCACACGGAGCAGGCCCCAGCTGGGCACGGGGAGGGCGCCAYGTGAATCTTCTCTGCAGGCACCGTGCTGGGCAAAGAGGATGTGTTCCTGCTGTGGAGGGCAGAGGGGCACAGGGAGTCACCTAGGGAGTCTGGAAAAGCCAGCTCAGACAGGATAAGACCAGGTCCCCTGCTTTACAGCCACCTCCTGATGGCATCCACCCCCAGAGGTGGAGCAAGTGGCCTTTCCCAGTGGCTTGGGTGTGTGGCAGCGCCCCTTGTCTTTGCACTGAAGGGAAGGAGAAGAGCGAGCTCAGAGTGAGTGCACGGGCCTGAGTGCTCCTGTCCAGTGACCCTGGGGTGTCCCCGGTGGCCCTGTGAGGGAGGACGATTTTTATAGGAGAGGATAATGAGGCTTGAGATGAGGATGGGGAGTGGGCTCAGGTCACTTCCTGAGACCCCTAAGAGGCAGAGTGCTGGACCAGGTTCAGAGCAGACTTTCAGAATCAGAGACCTGCTGCAGAGACCTGGGGAAAATCTTTTTGCCCGGAGATGGCCAATGCAGAATGGATGACCAAATTCTTATTCTTTTGGTTTATAAAACAAGACCTGTTGACAGTGCTATAATGAAACATGAGGACTTGGAGCAACCAGGCAGCCTGTGTACCCCAGCTCGGCCTCTGACCTTGAGCCATTCACCCACCTGTCTGAGCCTGCAGACCCTGGTCTCTGACAGGAAATGCCATCAGCCTCCTCCAGGGGCTGTTGTGAGGACTGAGTTCCGTGGTACCCAGGAGGTTCAGGGTGTTAACTGCTGTCTCACTCCTGAGGACCTTGCCTGGTTTTTACCCGTAGTCTCTCCTCCAATCTAAATCTCACTACTGCCCATGCCCAGGGAAAATTCTGAGTATTATACACATAATTGTGCCACATCTTTTAAAACTTAAATTGCCAGAGAGACCCTAAGCCACTTAGTGAGACTCTGCCTCAAGATAAAAAATAAAAAGGGACAGGGATGAGCTCAGAGGTAAAGCACCCCTGGGTTCGATCCCTGGTACCCACCCCCAARTTTAAACTACCTACGTATTTTTAAATTGACCAATTGTAAAATGAAACATTAACAATTGTTTGTATTTGTATAAACAATATTTGTATTTATCAAGCAGCTTATGGTCCAGATCTTCAGATCTACTTTCTTATCTATAACATTTCCTTGAAGTCAAGTCAGAGGACATGGTCATTACTTTCATTTTGCTGTTGAGGAAACAAAGGCTTAAACTAGGGTCACCAAGACTCTGGTTTGGGCTTATAGAGGCTCACAGAGGCCTTTGTTGGAAACGAATGCCCAGTGCCCGTGTACGMCGGCTCTCGCCTGCAGCTTGGAGATGGACTTGGGCCTTAAGCCCCTGGCTCCAGAAGCCTCAGGGACCCTGGTTAACACTCTGCCCTGATTCACAGTCAGAAGAAGGACAGGCGCCCAGGGGCTTTCCTCCCTGCCCTGGCAGACACAGAGGCACACTGGGAAAGGGAGCCAGTGGGCGCTCTGGGTGACTCCCTGCAGCCAGTGGGGAGGAAAACCACGCCAAAGTGGGGCTTCCGATGGCTGGAGGCTCTGGAGTGAAAAGGAGGCGGCTGAAACAGAGCCCAGGGACCCAGTTCCAGGAAGCAGTAGGGAGAAAGCATTCCCTCCATCAGAAATGCAGTCCCCTGCCCTGGGAGGGCCGTCCACCCCTGGCTCCCCAGGGAAAAGCTTCCTCTAGCACAGAGGGACGGCAGTGCCTGGAGGTGCCAGAGTGAGGAAGGCTTTAGAGGGTTCTTTCACAACACAGTAGAGGGGGAGTGCAGCTATGAAACAGGATGGACGTGATGAGTGTGCTTTATGTAAGGAGCAAAAAACATCAGCGTCAGGTTGAAACAGAATCTTGAAAGGTACATTTCCACTAATGATAATACCAATTCTGCTTTAGCAAACAGTAGATATTCACCATGMGGGGCATTCTGTCAAGCAAGTACAAAGACAGGGACATGAGATGGCACCCCTGCCGTCCAGGTGGGAGGGTGATGTGCCACGGTGSACAGACTCACTCATCCATGGCTCTCAGGTGCTGAGAGCTACTTGACTCTCAGCACTTTCCCTGTATTAGCTCATTAAATCCCCACAACAGAGAAAGTAGGTCCCATTTTTACTCCTGTTCCACCTTCTGTCATATAGTGAATAACACACTGCACCCCATAAAGATGTACAATGACTGCGCGTCAATTAAAAGTGAAAACAAATTACAGGAAGGAGATGCAGGAAAGGGGCGGCCGTTGATGGGGGTGGGAGTTTCTGGGGTTTCTGAGGACTGAGGAATGGGGAGGTCCCAGGAACAGAGCAGGAGGTGGCACCCCGTGGAGCCCCAGCCCTCCTGCTGCCTCCAGCCCTCTCCAGCCTGGTGCTGCTTTGTAGGAAGGGAGACGTCATGACTGCAGCCTCCTCACGTGAAGGGCCCAGGGGTGGCTCCGTAGCCGTACAGAACCGCCAAGCACTGGGAGACGGTGGTGCGCACTGGCCTTTGGGATTCTGCCTCACCTTGCATTTGAAGAGAGGGATGCTATGGCTAAAAGGAGTGTGGAGCCTTTGCTCTGGGGCTAGAGAATCTTTTTTAAATGTTGGGTGGAGAAATCACCCCCTCCCCGCTCAGCTCCGACAAATCAACTGTGGTCCCTTATACCTGGGTGGCATGTGGATTCATCCCCTAGGATGCTTTCATCCTTCCTGTCCCCTCCCATCTCTGTGTCCTAAGCATGTTTCCTTGTCTCTAACTTTATATTGCCGCATATGACCAGTGGGACAATGGCCCCAAATATGTTCATATCCTGATCTCCACAGCCGGTGACTATGTCACCTCGGATGACAGAGGGGCTTTGCAGGGGTGATCAGGATTCTGAGAAAGGAGCTCACCGGGGATTATTGGGATGAGCCCACTGAAATCACCTTCTTGTACCTGGGAGCAGGAGCAGAGAGTTAGGGAAGGTGACGGACGTGATGTTGGTTGGAAGCAGAAACCCAAGAAAGAAAGGAAGGGAAGGAGAGAGAGGRGAGAAGACGCTGAGCTTTTTGCTTTGAAGATGGAGGGGCCATGAGCCAAGGAAAGCGGGCAGCCTCTTGGAGCTGGGAAGTCAAGGGCATGGTCCTCCTTCAAGCCTCCCGAGGAATTCAGCTCTATTGTCCTCCTGAAGTCAGCCCAGTGAGTCCCACTGCAGTGTGTGTCCTGAAAGTGACCCCACACACACCAAGACAAATACGTCAGTCAAAGACGGTTGATCCACTGGCGACTGGGTTTCAGGCTCAGAAACATTCTGCCACAATGTTGTGGTTCATGCATTTGAAAAGGCCCCACGTGCATCTACCGCATCCAAGAGCAGTACATGTCTTCCTAAATCTAAAAAGTCTCCCCCCATGCCAGCTTCATCCACGTACTTACAAACAGTCATAGGGTAATCAAAACGTGACAAAGYGGGCTAAGCACACAGCGTCCAGTGGGAGAAAATAAACATAGATAAATCGCCATCACCAAATGCAGACACAGGTGCGGGGAGGGCAGGAGGCTGGGCGAGGGATAACCTCAGAGGCGAACTCTGCCCTGTCCCCTCCCCAGTCACTTGCCTGCCAGATGTGCCCACTCAGCCAAGACAAGCCTCCAGGACAGAGGCCATGGTGACCCGCTTCTCCCAGGCCCCGCTGCCAGGCTCTTACCTGGAGCCCCCCCCCTCCCCCGTGCGTACCTGCACCCACCTGGGGGTGACCAGAGAGCAGAGGGATGCTTTTCCCTGTCGCTCAACAGATGGCGCTACTTCCTAAACTTGGGGAGGGAGCTGGGCAGAGGGAGGCACGCTCAGTTTGCCTCCAAGCCCTCAGGCTCTGTCTKCGGGCAAAGTCACCTACTCCCCCAAGGAGACCAGGGTCCTCTCTGGGGTCACTCTGCTTTTGTCCTTAAGGTGTGAGCCCAGATGGGTTAGCTGGAGAGGCCTCTCGTTTGCCCTTGGACTGGCCACGTGCATCCTGGCTGGCTGCCTTTTCCCTGGCTGGAGAGCAGCTGGGTGCAGGGGACTGAGCAAGGTTCTCTGCCCGGGAGAGGAGCTCCTTCCTGCAGCACCTGCAAGGGCCTAATGGGGCTGGCGGCACCCTCCAAACGTCCTATTTCTCCCTCAAAGGCAGCCCTGCAAGGGCTCCAGTGTGTCTGCATCCCAAACAGCAGGAGCCTGAGCGTCCACCATGACGCTCTTCAGACCTAGAGAAGGGCTGTGGGTGCCGCTGGGGCGGGGATGCAGCCTGTCTCACCTGGGGCTGGTGCACCTGGTGTAGCTGCTGAGCCGCTGGGTCTCCGCGCCCTTGAGAGCCGGGAGGAACCGCCTGTCTGCTCTAGGGCACAGACAGGTTCAGCGTCCTCTCCTGGATTTCTCTGAGGTCCTGCCCCTTCCTGAGCCCCAAGCTGCCTCTGCCTCCTGGGCACCAGCTCTGTGGCATCCTCCTCTCACAATAACCCCAACCTGAGAGCAGCGCCTCCAACAGCAACTGCACCCCCAGCCCCTGAGCTGTTTAGGGAAGAGTTGGGGCTGGGCTCACTGGCTCCTCCTTCCTTCCCCTCTCTCTGCCTCTCAGAGGCCCCTGGAGCCCCGGTGGCTTCTCCCTCTAGCGTGGTGAGCAGCTGCTCGGCTTCCAAACCCGGAGCCAGCTGACGTGTAGACTCGCAGCCGTGTGACACCCTGGGTGTCAGGCACTTATGAGAACCTTCTCAGCCCAGGCGGCACCTTCCCTGGAGACATCCTGCTGAGCCGATGAGCACTGCTTCTCTCRCCTGCTGTGTACCTGCTAACGTCACAGCTGGCAGTGCTCCTGGGCTCCATGGAAGGCCAGCTGGGTGCCACCGTGGAGGGTCGCCTGGGAGTCCCGGGAGCTGGTCCAGCCTCCCTGCCCTGCCCCTAGCCGTGCTAACCCTCTCC